GGACGTAGCTGGTCCTTTAGCAAGGTACCACTCTTAAACTGGTGTCCTTTGCACAGCCATGCCTGCCTTATGGCTGGAAGAGGAGTCCTACCATGGCTGCCTCCCTTTGCTGCTTGGGTACAGAAACTGGCTGGGTTGTTGATGTGCATAGCTGCCTGCTCTGGCTGTGGCTGGGTGCTATTGATTTATCTCTAATACTGGAGATAATTCCAAGTCTATATGTTATGATATAATTAGATGTAATTTTTCTCCCCCTAAATAGGGGTAATAATTTTATCTCAGAAGGTCAAAAATAATGACCTAGGCTAACTGGGTATTTTAAAAGCTAATTTAGGGGGAAAATGAGGCATGAAAGAAATAACATTAGGGAAAGGTAGATCATTTAAGTGATAATCTTTATTGCACCTTTTAAAATTAGATTCCTATTCACAGTTCTGAGCAGCATTTAGTCATAGCAGTTTTTGTAGTCCTTTAATCAAGTGATCATTTAAAATGACTTATGGTACAAGGTGTTTCCACAGTAGCTTTGCAAAGGTGTTTTTTATCCTGCAGGAGAATAGATAAGGCCAAAAACGAACAGCTTGCTTATGCAGGATATCTGTCCCTGCCCAGCCTATCTGTCTCTGCCTTTCAGATGTTCTTTTTGGGATACCTAGCAATTCTTTTTTTCACTTAGGAGTTATCTAAAGTTGTTACTCCTCTCTTCATTCTATTCAAAAGAGGAAAAACATCTTTATAAACAATGTCCAGTGATCCTTTCTGCTGAGATATTAAAGGGAGTTTGCTTGTTTCCTTCCACCTGCTCCCTCGTCTTATTCCACCCTCAACCTGTCCCTCCGTCTCCCACCCATGAAAGGATGAGATGTGAACAAGCTTGCATCTTGCTTCTCTGGGGATTTCAGCCAGCCCCACTGGAGCAGGCACCTCGTCATCCTCTCATGACTAATAGCTGGTCGTTACTCTTATTTAAAATAATTCCATTTTGTTTGAGGTGTTATTTGTTATGCCAGGAAGTCAGGCAGGCAGTGACATATCCTGCAGAGGAAGTCACTTATACTGGGAAGGAGAAGTCACTTACACGGGGGAAGAATGTAATGTGCTTGGCATGAATGAATTGCTCAAAAAGATCTTGAAGAATCACAGTGCAGTGAAACATCCATTGTCGGCTGTTAAACATAGCAAAGCTGAAGATTTGCTGTTACATGGTTTAAAAAATTATAGTCTCATCTCTGTGTATAAAATTTCTTAAAAATATATCTTTTTATTTCCAAAAATAATCAGAAGATATGTATATGTACTTCACTTTGATTGTTTGCTTTCTCCAACAATGAGATCATCAGCCCAGAAGGAGAATTCTTGAGACTCTGTATGGGATAAGTGGGCATAAGATGCTACCTCCTGTTTTTATTCTGGTATACATCAATAGGAAGAATTTGTTAATTCACCCCCCACTGTGATTGTATCACTGGTTGGAACTTGAGTTCAGCCTGGTGCCACGTTGTGCCCGTGAATCTCTCAACACCAGATGTCTGGGCAGAGCTGCAGTGGAGGTTTATAGGTGCCATGGGGCTCAGCCTTCTCCCCAAATAACATTTTATTTTTTTTATTTGCTCAGCTGGTGACAGGAGTGTTGGAAGGAGGATACAATTTCTTCTGTCAGGATACGCACAGTGGTGGAGAAGCTGATATGAAGGTACCATAATCCAGACTTAGAGCTGGTAATATTTCAAACTCTCTACTTTAGTGTAAGTGAAGAGCAGAACAGTATTGATTATGCTTGAACTATATGCTTTTTTTCCTCCTTTTGCAGTATAATGGACAGTGCACTGTCAAACATAATAGTTAATATTACAATAATCATACAATATATTCATGGTTGGTATTTTGGTAAGTAATTATGTGTAAATTTTCAAGTGTTCCCAGGTCAAGAAACAAGGACCTGGTCTTCAGACTGTGTCCAGCTGTGTGTTGTGACTCCCCTTCTCTTTCTGAGATGTGATGACTTCTTCTGGTCACACTTCTGACCTCTCCTTTACAGAGAGCACTGTAGCACCAGCTCTGGTTAAATATTTTCTTGTTTCTCCCAGGACACTCCAGGTGCACAGCAACAGCCTCATAAAACAGTCTTTGTCATCCTGTTTTCAGCTGTAGCTATGGGTTTTTACCTGGATCTCCTACAGGGAGACCTGAGTCAGAAGAATTATGGAAGATCCTAGCAGTGTCTTCAATCCAAGTAGTGCAGGACAGAATCTGGATTTTAATTACTTAGGTAGCAGAAGGGTTGAAAGCCCCCACAATGTGCAATGCTTCTAAAACTTGTTTCCTCCTTTCTAGATCATACGTGTCCTCTGGTGGTACTATTTCTCCAAACTCATTGAGTTCATGGATACCTTCTTTTTCATTTTGAGGAAAAATAATCATCAGATCACTGTTCTGCATGTCTACCACCATGCAACAATGCTGAACATCTGGTGGTTTGTTATGAACTGGGTGCCTTGTGGTCACTGTAAGTACTGGGTTATGGTGGGGAACATTTGCAATGCGGGCGTCATTTTGGTTTTCTTTTAGTCAAACCAAACATCTCTGGTCCCTTCAGCTGCAGGATTTGTTCTGTCCCATATTAAGCTGCTTTGCTGAATCGCAGCTATTGCAGATAGTTTCAGGAATTAAACTGCCAGCACAGCATCTAGAAAAGGAATGTCTTGTGTAGTTTAAAGAATTTGTGTGGCAGGGTGGCCTTTATGAGCTGCAGTAGCCCAGGTCAGATATCTGTCAACCTTGCTCTCTCTGTTTTTGTGATAGTTGCAGACCCTCTAAAGAAACAATACTCTTTTTGAAGTCAGGACCAGAAGCTTGTTTCAGCTGCAAGATGACTAATAGTGACTCTTGTCCTTGCATCTGTCAAGTTCACTTGAGATGTTCCTTTCTTAATCTCATTATACCACTAGCGATAACAAATGATTTCAATTAAAATCTTGTTCCCTTAGCACTAGTGAACATGACCAAATGCAGTTTAAGTTGAAGATTTTCATGTTTCTCTTGTCTAAATCCTGCTAACCTCTGGGAATCTGGCTTTGATTCTCTACTTTCATTCTGTTTAGCTGGTACCTAGTTTCCTAACTGCATTAGCATTACCTACCTGTGGTTCAGATTTGCAGTTTAGAGATACTGACTGTTGAACACTCCCTCCAAGAGAAACCTTTTCAAATCCAATGGCTGTGAACTACTGGCAGTGCAGACCAAGAGGCTGCATTCCTCAGGAATCTGCTCTCTGAGCCAAACGACATAGAAACCTGTATTTGTTTTGTGTTGTCAGCACAACAGTGAGTAATGCTGAACTTATAAAAAGTGTGCATCTGGAAACATATTCTGCTTCAAGGAAGTCAATCCCTGTTTATATAGCAGTCAAAAATGCAGACACTTAAGAGTCTATCTTGTGTTTTTGTGGTCTTGAAAATACTTTTGTGCTACTTCTAGTCATCTGTTTTTCTTCCAAACTTTTTGTTCTGCTTGGTCATCACAGTTCTGTGCAGTTCAGTGTTAAGCTAAAAGTTTTTTTTAATGACTAAAGTTGCTGTAAACAAGGACCACTAAAATGGCTAACTTGACGTTTCTGAAGATACCTGTTGCTTTTGGCTATAAATGGCAAAATAGACTTCTGTCTGGAAGGAATGAAATAAGCCTAAAAGTAGATGGGTGAAGTTGTCAATTCTTGGGTATGTGAGTGTGCCTCCTTTTTATCAGCTTCTCTTGAGAAACCATAATGTAGATGTGAAAAAGAGTGACTTGAGGAAACAAACCAGAAGACTGGTATAAAGTGCACAACTGCAAAGCAGCTCAGCTACTATATTGGGTGAGCAGAATAAAAATCAAAGTGGAAAAAAAAACAAACCTAAGCCTTCTTGCTTTTCTTCTAAGAGAAATCATATTTTAAATAGTAACATTTTGAACTTGTTATTTTGGTAGGTTCCATGAAACAGCATGTTCCTTCCTGATAATGCAGTGTACTTACTTTCTTTTTCCCTTGCCCTTTTTTTAGCTTACTTTGGTGCCACACTGAACAGCTTTATCCATGTCCTCATGTACTCCTACTACGGACTGTCTGCTGTTCCAGCAATGCGTCCTTATCTGTGGTGGAAGAAGTACATCACTCAGGGGCAGCTGGTGAGTGATTTGCTCTTCAGTGCTTCAGCAGGCTCTTGTCTTTTTGTCTTTACTGAGTTAGGAAATTTTGGAAGGGAGTAGAAGAAGGGATAATGAGGGCTCGTACCTCCTGCATCCTGTAGTGCTTAAATCGCCGTAGAAATCCAGTTCCTGCACGTTCATTTGCTCTGTTTTCAGGACCATGGGGAGCTGGGGACTGGCTGAGATCGGTGGGGTCTTCACCTCACCATGTTGTATGGCTAGATGTATTTGGGAGTTGTGGTGCTGGGTTTTCTGGGACTCAGTAGCCAGGGAGGAGGGAGAAGTTTTTCTTCCAAGGCCCCTTGAGCTAATGTCCTCTCCCCTGTGCTTGGTTGGTCAGGCTGATGACAGACCAGAAACTGAGTGCAATGCAGTCCACAACTAACAAGGCCCATTCTAGTCCTGTGGGACAATGCCTTTCCTGTCTCACTTTTGCATGCAGTTGCAAATGGTTTATTAAAAACTATTCAATATTTCTGCTCTCTTTCTGCACTTTACATGGGCAGATTTTTTTCTCTTGTAGTTCTGTGTTGGACTCCTTGTATCCATTTGCATTGTTTCCCGTGTGTACAGTGATGAAGCCTGAATGCTGTGTACTGGAGCTGAAAAGAGCAGTGAAATTAAGCACTGTGGCACATGTTGTAGTGATAGTGCACGAGAACCAGGTTTTCATGTGTACAATGTGTCAGAATACCACAAGGAAATGTGCAGTGGTGCTGTGTTTTCTCCATTTTTATAGGGGAGGAAACTGAAGCTGAGAGATAGACTTTTCTGTTATCTTCCTCCCACCCATCCTCCCTTAGCACCCTCTCAGAGTTGTGAATAGTTTTAATAACATTCCTGGTGATGATTAATAACATTTGCTGCCAGCAATTCAAGTGTTGATTCTTAACATCTTTATTCTCTCCTTCCTGAAGGATGGCCAAGTGTTGTAGCTGTGGGCTCATTTTTTTCCTGGGACAGATGGGCAGTTGCCTTGGTTTGGGGTTTGTTTTTGTTTTTCCTTCCAGATTTAGGCTGTATTCTTCATCCTGGTTGTTCAAGTGCTACAGAGTGCAGTGTCTCAGTGCTTTGGTTGCTCTCCTGGCTATTGTCAAAGCTGCTTTCACTTCCTTGCCTGCTCTTCATGCATAGCTGTTAGAGCTGCAAAATAGCAGAGCAGAACAAACAGCATTTCCCTTTTTAAATAAACATTCCCTAATCTGGTAGCCTTCATGTAAGGATGAATTTTGCTTAAGGCCCTCTGCAGCACTTACGCCCAAACTCTGTTTTTCCAAAAGAGATAATTGTAGATAAATGAATCCCAATCCTCCTTCCTGACTGACTCCCCAGCTTCCCTGCAGTCTTTTACCACAAAATTTCTTCCACTGGAGCCATATGCCAGACAATTCCTGTCTGTGGGAGAGATTTGCACTGTCTGTGTGTAGACCAAGTGACCCCAGATCTTTTGCAACTGAAGCAGTGAGATGCAGATCTACTTTGTTAGAATAGTAGAGTCAAACCCCATTAAGTTGTCACTAGGAAGGCGGTGGTCTTGTTCCTTATGATATCTATAAGTCAATTCTACATTACTTACTCTACTGTTCTAAAATGGAACAATATAAATAAAATAAACAGGCTTAAAAAACAGAATACCACAACCAGAATGTCTGCTAACTCAGGTTTACAGAGAAGGTAAACTTGTTAAATGCAGTATTACATATTTTTTACTTGATTTAGAAACACCTTTTGAGATCTTGGTCACTGTAAAATTTTTTCCCTCCTTCCATTAATGTAGTCCATTTCTCTTTTTTTTTTTCTCTCCCCAGATTCAGTTCGTCCTGACAATCTTCCAGACCAGCTGTGGTGTTGTTTGGCCATGTGCATTTCCTCAGGGGTGGCTGTATTTTCAGATTTCTTATATGATTTCTTTGATTATCCTCTTCACAAATTTCTATATTCAGGTAAAAGTAATATTTGTCAACTCTTTCTGGCATTCTGCTGGCAGTATCTCTCTGGAAAGCTGTTTACAGAAAGATATGCTTGAAATGTCCTTTTGCTATCTTCCACTAACATGCACATGGTTCCTAAAGTATTGCACTTGTTGATCTGCTCTTCACTTTCAGATCTTCTGATGTTTTGTATCTGCAATTCAGAATGATTAGTAATTTCAGCAAGCAGAGTGGCACACAAAAGTGGCTTACTAGTGCAATTTTAACTGCAGACAGGGAGAGGAAGAGCTTAATGTAAGAAGCAGCTTTCCACTCCGAAATAAACCCATAGCATGTGAACCTGTGAAGCACCTGAAGGAATTGTTCATTACTGCTTTTACAAGGGGAAGTTCTTGGTTTATATCCAGGGAAACTTCCTAAACTCCCAACATAAAGAAATCTGGTTCTGCTTCACCTTTACAGGCATTTGTTTGTATTTTGGAATTTTCATATGGAAAATTAGTGTTCTGAGTTGTGTTTCTACAAAGCTGATTTCATGTCTGAACAGATCCAGACTTGGTATGTGTTGTTCTGAGCAGTTCATAAATGGGCTCTGTACAAAGATGCACCCATATTCAGAAAATCAAACCAACACAGCCTGCCATCCCCAAACAAGCAAACTCTGCTGCATGCTCTAAATGTCTTTTGAGATATTTGAGCATTGTGGTTCTGGTAAGAATGATTCACGGAGGGAAACACTGCAGGCTTTCCTGTCTGATCTTTTGCTACTACTTAAAATCAGTCCCATGATTCCTATCACTTGCTGCATATGAACATGCTAATTAAACATTAGAGTATATTCCAAATATTATTCAACCTTTTTCATAAATTTTACTCATATTGTAACTTTTAACCTTTTAACTTCCTTTCACACACAGAAATTCTGGGAAATGTGCTCTTGTCAGGCAACTGAGTCCCTCTGAGAAAACTAATTAATGTATATATTTTCTCTATTTTGTTTAGACAGAGTCCCCCATATCCTGTTAGATTTTTGATTCTCATGTTGGCCAGTGGAAAGTCCTTTCCCATTTCGTCTCTGAACTTCCCTCATTGTTCTTGTTTACCTACTTCTTGCTCTGTTCAATGTACTGTCACCTGCAGTGCCTCAAACCTCCTTCCTCACTACTTGTTTTGAGTATATTCTTGTGCCGCAGTCTGCTCATAAATTCGCTTCCCTTGTTCCTAATTTACAATTAACATAACACTAGCATCATACTGCCAAGCGTTTTTCTTTTCAAGTGAACTAATTCTTTTGCTGTGATGAATGAAGGCATAGTATAGTTTCATACACAAGAAGTGGTAGAGCTTGTTAGACTCTACCACCGGCACAAGGTCTTAAAAAATGATGAATGCGAGTTTACTTTTCTGTTTCTAGAGTTATTCTGAAGAAGTGGTTATTTATATCTAATTAAGCAAAACCATGTGTCTTTCCCTATATTCTAGACTTACAACAAGAAGGCATCCTCGAGGAGGAAAGAGTATCAGAACGGCTCTACCGCCACTGCAAACGGGTACACAAACAGCTTTTCTTCCCTTGAGAACAATGTGAAACAAAGGAAACAAAGGAAGGATTGAAGACCAAACTGAAAAACCATTTTGATAACCCCAACAACAAAATCATCTGATTGTAAGCACAATGAGAGTTGTGCACTAATACTCTAATGGCTACTGTAACTATTCCTGCCTAGAATAGTGTGATTTATGTAGGACTTAACCAGTGCAAACACCCTAGAAACTGTATACAGAACATAAAAGTAGGTTAAAGTTTAAAAATAATTCTGGGCTGTCACTGACCCTGCTATAGACTGTGGAAGGGAGTATTACCATATTATCCAACACTGCTGTTGCCTTACTAGTCAATATGATAGGTGCTGAATTATGATTCACAATTCGAAACACTGTAATCTAAACCTCCATTTTTTTTTTACAATAGATCATGCATGTGATTGTAGAGGTAATTTGTATGATGCTGGTTTCAGTAGATAAACACACATGCCTTAAATTAAAAAGCAGGGCCCAAAGCTTATTACTGGTTTAAAAATTAGGGTTTCAACTTTTCAGTTGACTGACTTTTTATTAAAAAGTCATTTAGAAGAATCCATTGATCATTTTACTGTTCTGTATGTGATACACAATGTTACGTATCTCTTACTCGATACAGTGAAATTGAAAATGGCACATTTAGTTTTGTATATTTGGCTTTGACTAAACAGTCACAAACCAGATGGAAAAGTTATTTTACCTTTTTAATAGATCTTATTTTTTTATTTGAAGTATGTCACTGATGTAAAAGTAATTGGCGCTTACACAGTCCAGTAAGATTGTCTCTAAGGTTTAGAGCATATACAGGGTGGACCCATCTATTCTTTTCACTTTTTTTTTTTCTTTTTTTTCCCCTCCTTTCTTATTTCTGAGAATTCTTAAATGCTAAATGAAGAGTGATTTTTAATATGAAACTGGCAGAGTTTCAAGTGTTATTACCATAGCCATATCCACGTTTTAGCAGCTACTGTTGAAGTCTGTGACGTATCCAAAGGCGTATTTAAAAGAGGAGACAGAAAGATGCTTTTCTGATGGAATTGTCTGTATTTAAGTTGGTATCTGAACTGTTCTTCATGTAGCATATGTTCACTTTTAAAATGTGCCTAACACAAAGGTGTTATTTTTCCCAAACAAGCAAGTTTAAACAGTTTAAGTCATACCTAATGTTTTTTAAATGTTACTGAAATGTGCTGGAAATGTCTGTTTCTGTAATGTGAGTTGTGTATATCACTGGTAAAGTTTTGGCTTGTTATCTGAGGATTTGGTTTGAGTGCTGGTTAAAGTTCCTCCTTCTTGTAAAATCTTGCCTTGCACATATGAGGAGTGAGTTGCAAAGCCAGTATCTGTTGCTGGTATTCTGATATCTGCCACGGTGGAGTTTGGCTTATGAGTATTTTATTCATTAAGCTCTGAAAAACTGAATTGTGCAAGACATTCTGCTGGTCATTGCTCAAGTTTAACTATTTGTTTTTTTGATATTTATATAAATGCCAGGTTTAACATGTTTAATTGTTTTTAAATCTTTTTTAAAATTTTTGCACATCTCTTAAGGAATTAATAAGTTCTACTAGCCTTGTGGGTTTTCATTCCTTGTTTTGAAGGAGACAGTGTCTTTTATGTTTACATTATCAAAGCTTGTGCGTGTGTCTTCATTTCTAGGTACTGGTTTGCAGAGTCTTTACATAGCTCAGTACAGCAGCTATAATGTTCAAAATAGGCTGTCTAAATGTGTTAGAAATAAACCCTTGGCTCGTCTGAATATACTTCATTGTTAATGTTTGACATGGTTTAATCATTAAAACACTTTTGATGATCTCTGCCTGAATTCTGTGGGTTTGTATAGATTTAATGCATTGCCCCATCCTGTGTCAGGCCAAGGAGGAGTCACCAGGATGAAGAACAGCTGCAGATATTCAGAGACGTTTAGAGCACCACAAATTTGGTACAAATTCTTTACAGAAACCCTTAGCTCTTACTGAATACTGTTCCCTTGCCTGGCTGTGGAAATACTGGTCCGTGTGATGAATTAAACCTCCTGCTGGGATTACTGACTCATTGAATGCAGAGCAGCCCAAATAGTTCCAAGATGATGAGTGCCAGGTGCAAAGCTCGATGTGTCTGAGAGGGACTTTCTGCCTCAGCTGTCCTGTCTATAAAATGGGAATAATACCTCTCTCCAGAATGGGAGTGTTTTTGCAATTTCCCTGTAGCTCCCCTTGGCCTTAAGTGATTGTTTTGGAGCCCTCTCCAACTTGAGTGTTTAATCAGGACACCGCAACAATCTCAGATAGGCTGGTGATGGACTTGGTAAAACAGAACTACTTATGTAGCTGTCTGCTTCTCACTTGCAGGCTCTTAAAACAAGACCTGTAGACCAGGAAAAAGGGTTTTACACTTCATGTGAAGGGCTCAGAGGTTTCACGCTAGGCTGGTCTCCTCTGGGAGGGTGCTCTGAATGCCTGAGATGGTTGCTAAGACAGTTTCCTCTTCTTCACATGCCAATTCAGCTTTGAAATTGAGTGTTTTTCTAAGCGAGGTTCAGTAAGGTGCTGTTCTTTAGATGATAAGCCAAATCTAGAGGAAATACCTGGAAGGCAGAAGCCACAGCACCAAGCTGGCCTTCCCCAGTGTGCCAGAGGAGACGGGGCTGCTGCCTCCAAACCTCGCCTTCAAGGTCAGTGCTGAAACATGATGGCTTTATCGTTATTTTGCACCACGTAGACCCACCAACTTCAGCCAAAACTGGCAGGAGGTGTGATCTTGGGAACATGTAGTGTTCACACCTGCACAGGAAAGATTGTGGCTCTTGGCTACTCTTCTACACACTCAGCAGCAACTGAAAACAGTGTCTGAGATGGGTCTGTTGGGTTAGATCAGACATCACCGTACCATAACTGATGGACCAAGGCTGGAGCTTTGGGTCACCTGGTTGAGCTTCCAGTGCATTACCTGACCTGGAGTTAGTAACAGCCTGAGCACCTGCAGTTTTCCTAACAGATACAGCTGTGATTGGTGCTTGGGATTATGAAAGACTCCTCAGAAAGGACTTTCTGTGTTGTAAAGCCTGTAGAGATGAAAAAAGACCAACTGATGACAAAGGGGTTGAAAAGCTTTCGGGTAAAGTCAGCTGAGGAGAAGAGGTAGTTCAGTAGCTATTTCCAGGGTGAATGACTGAGTTTCAAACTGTGCAGCTCATGAGCTGAGCAAATCCCTCCCTGTACTCAGGCCCTACAGCCTGAGGGACGGAGAGAGGTGTTAAGCTTTTATTAAGCTTATCTATCCCATCCACAGCCTAAAGGCCCAGAACAGAGCTTTTCCTAGGGTGGTCCTGGTGTGAAGACCCCAAGTGCTGTGTCACAGATGTGCGAGCCACCCCGGGGCCTGTATCACTCAGGCACTGGGATTCCTGACTTGGCAGGAAGAAGAAAAGCAGAGAAAACTCTGGGAGTCTTTGCGGTTGATTGTGTATTTTACTTGATGCAAGGCAGGTGCTAAGTAAGTGTTGTAGCTTCTGGTAGGACTTTACCACCAAAACTGGGGCAAAGAAAGCCCCAAAGCCCCAAACCTAATGGAGAGCTGTTCTGGGGGCTGCTTCTGCCTTTGATATTTGGTAGCTGTACTGAGGTGTAAGTTGATAAAATGTGTGTCTCTTGCATGAGACTGGAATGTATATTGTTAAAAGGTATGCATTATTAAAAAAAGGGATGTAAAGTAAGCTGGATGCTGAAGAGAAGTATAAATAAAATTGGAGGTTAAATTACTTTGAATGTGGGTTCTGCTGGGAATCCCCTCAAGGCAGTGCAGAGATGATAAAATATAGATAGAGATCTGTTGTTAGAGAAATGTGGCTTAGAGTTGCATTGATACAGAAGTTTAACTTATACTGTCACTGTCATCCTCTTGCCAAGAATTACTGAACCAACTAAGGTGATTAGTTGTATTCATCAGGATGTTTCAAGAACTAACTTATAAAAGCAAACTTGAATTCAATTTTTGACTTTTAATCCATTTCATTTAAATAGATGGATATACAAAAAGGGGTCTGTAAGTTTCTCAGTTTCAGTACAGCACATTGGGATGAGCAGGGGACACTGGGTGTGGTGACCAGCAACAGAATTCATGGACAAGCAAGGTCAAACTGATGAGCAGTTGCTTTGTCTCAATGCTTTCAGCCTGAACAGAACCTATTATAAATGTCTTAAGACAGAACCTGGTATGAAAAGTAGAACTGTTTGTGATATTTGGAGATGACAACATCAGGAAGCACTGTCAATGCCAAGGAAGATTACAAACCCTACAGCAACAACTGCATGACCTTGATGGCTGGAATAAGAGATGGGATTAGTGTAAATCCCCCTTAGGCACAAGTAACAGAAATTGAACTGTTTCCACTGGAGTTTTAGTTGGACGTGACTGAAGAGGAGAGAAAAAAAGATATTTGAGAACCATGTGTTCAACAACTTATAGCTGCTACTATCAAAAAAAAAAAGGGGGGGGGGAAGTCTTATTTGTTAATTGGTCCGTTTTTAGTAGAAGGAGGAATGTGCTAGAGTGGGAGAATGAGGATGAGGCTCTGGTGGGACTTACTTTTGAGGAATACACCTGCTCTCAAAAAATCTGCTTCTAAAAGATGTGCTGTACAGAAGAGTTACGGGGGCAGGCAGAGAAATGCAGAAGTCCTGCAAAATGGGTATTTAGCAAGACCAGGAAGGAAGGAATGTAGTCATACCCAGCAGAGACATCATGACAGCAGACAGCATGAAGGAAAATGAACTATTTTAAGTGTGTGACACAAAAAAAATGGGTAAAAGCTACCCAAGAGTCAACCTAGGCCAGAAACAGGGAGAGGGCCTTTGTTAGTGTAATATGGCTCTGCAGCGTTTTTGCTGTGCGTAGGGTGAAGGTCTGGGGGATTGCTTGAAGACGGGGCACTTGGCCACTTCTAAAGCTTGTAGGACCACAGGGTGTCCTGCTCAGCAGAGAGAGGAGTGAGGACAAAAGTGTGAGAAACAGCCCTGCAGACACCAAGGTGGGAGAGGAAGGATGGGGAGGAGGTGATCTGGCTGCCAGAGGAGATTCCCCTGCAGTCTGTGCAGGAGACCACATCAAAGCAGATATCCCCACTGCAGCCCATGGATGACTGCTTGGTGGAGCAAGTGGACATGTTCTGAAGGAATTGCAGCTTATGGAGAGCCCACACCAGAGCAAGTTTATCCCAAGGGACTTCAGCCCATGGGAAGGACCCATGCTCGAGCATGAGTAGGAAGGAGCAGAGAGGAGCTGCTATGGACTGACCACAGCTACCCCCACACTACTTGGAGCAGGGGGGAGGTAGAGGGATCAGGAATGCACCAGTAAAACAGCCTTGGAAAAAGGGGATAGGAAGATGTTTTGGTTTTTGTCTTTGTATCTCACTATTCAATTCTATTTTAAGTGGATAAATTAAAGTATTTTTTCCAGAACCTGTTTGGGCCATGATGATTATTGCTGAGTGACCTTCCTGTCTTTATCTCAAACCTCAAGCTTTTCATCTTATTTCCGCTCCCAATCCTGTTGAGGGGGAGAGAGAGCAGCAGCTGAGTGGCTGTCTGGCAGGTGGCCAAGGTCACCCCACGCCACCTGGGCACTTTGTCTGCTTACAAATCCAAGAGTTTGGGCAGAAAGCAGCTTCCTTGATTATAAGGAAGATCTACGAAAGGCCGTGAGATACCACGGCACCAGAAAACCTGAAGTCCTGATACAGCTGGAACTCTTCTAGTCTGAGAAAATATGCCCCCTGGAGTGAAGCAATCACTTTTAAAAAAGAATTTATCTTGTTTTTTCCAAGTCTAATACATATTAAAGCAGCATTTCCAGGAAACTAGCCTTAATTCTTGGAAAGTTTTTAAAGGCAGTAGAGGAACCTCCTGTTTGTTACAGGAAGGTAAAGCAGTGGCACAGTGTGTGAAGGAAGCCCATGTTCAGCAGAAAGGTGCTGAATTTCCTCAGGAGAGGAATTGCCTCACACCCTTCAGAGGCAGCTGGAGCCCCAGCTTTTCAAACAGGGATGGTCCAGCCATGCAACAGCAAGAAATGGAAAATTGTACTGTTTGCATTTCATTTGGAAACAGGTGAGGCTTCAGGGGATCTGAATCTGTTGACATAAACATGCAATCCCATATGAGTTGTCTACACCTGTGCATTTGCTGCTCCTGAGCTGGTGTAATGGGGAATGCACAACCCCTGTGGCACAATTGCACTTTTACTGCCTCAGACTTGTCTAAGTCAATATTCACAGTGTTTCCACTAGAATTAGCCAGCTCCAGAGATAATGCTGTGTGGTGATAAACTACCTGGTAAAAGTATTTGAAGTGAAGCCAAATGAAATTTCTTCCACACTCAATAATCCACTTCCAATACTCAAGCAAGGTATTGTGGTACTCGTGTAATTGATTAGACACACAGTGTCTCCATCCCGTTAAGCAAGCGAGAAACGTGTCTTCATCAACTGTTCTGTCTGCCATGGGAAGCTAAATGTTTACTAAATGCTACTAATTCAATTTTACCAGCTGTTGTAGGAAATCAGAATCTCAGCTCACTAAGCAGAAATATGAGCTTTTTTTAAAATAAAATTTAAAAGACAAAAGAGAAATCTGCAGCCTGTGCAGTTACCTAATTGCCTTGCTTCCTTTAAAATCAATAGCATCTCAGTGCCTCAGGGCCTTTCTAGGTCTAACACCTTTCTGTATATTTAGAAGGGATTGCCTCTCTGAAAGGTCTTCTGTTAATTTATCAATTTGCTTTGCTTCCCACAGCACTTGGGGTTGGAAGGGAGTGTGAGAGTGGCTCTTGGTGTGCTGAGCTAGTAGGGACTTGAGACATCGATGCAAATGCACTTTTGCTCAGTGGAATAGTGATGAGTTTGCCGAAAAGACCAGGAAATACTCCCATGCATACAGATGGCATAACTATTATCAGCTAGCTATTATCAGCTGTGTTTCCTTTTAAAATTGTTTGTACAGATTTTGGTAAATCATCATGAAAAAGACCCTTCTGTTCTCAGAAGTTTAAATAAAGAGCTAAGAAGTCATCTTTACATCTGACTCTGGTTTCCATGTGAAGTAGATTGGAAGAATTGCTGGCCAATGCTGCTGTTATAAAGCTGTACAAGTAGATTTTGAAATGCGTGGGAACTCCTGAAACCAGACCTGGCAATTTGGTGATGGGTGCTCTGCTTAGTTTCTCAGCATTTTTTCAATATGCAGTATTTGCCTTGAGAAACAGGAAAATCGGAATAATTAAAAACTAACTCACATTTGGTCAAAAAGGAGCAACATACAAGGTTTCAGAAACCTCCAAAAATATGGGGCCAACTACCTGGCTCCATCTGGCCAGTAAAAATGATAGTCAGTGTGAGATTTTACTTTATGAAGTATAAGTAAAAAAGTCCCAAATCCAACAGAACAAATACCTCCCCCTTAATCCTCTCACAAACAAAACCCATCCATCCCACCCTGCCAGAAAAATACTGAAACAAAACAAACAAAAAACCCAAACAAAACTATGTTCAGTTTTGCCTTTTGGCCTCAAAATTGGAGAGAGCAGCTCTGAGCAGCATCTGCAGAGGTGACTTACCTCTTGCACAGATGATTTTAAGGAAGTTTAAGAATGGTGTAAGCAAGCACTGGGATTTTAGACCAAATCCTCCAATTGTCAGGTCTGGTTAAACCCAGGACTGACGTCCCTTTCCGGCTGAGAGGGAGAAGCACAGGAGGTGGTTGTGAGTCCCGGTAGGCGCGGTGAGCACCCAGGACCAGAAGCCGGGTGGGGGGATAGTTGAGGGATGCGCTGTGAGCCGATGCCCTCTCCTGGCGGCACCTGAGAGGTGACAGCTGGGAACAGGCTGCTGCTGGCACCCTGGAAGCAGGAGGATTTTATAGAAGACTGATACCGGTGACAAATATAAGAGCAATTAGTACAAGCGAGGATGGTAGATCAGTATTTATATCATGATACAGACTTCACAGTCAGAGACTTTTTACTTGCAATTGCACTGAAATATGTTCTTCAAAGACCATGTTTAGACCCTTCTTAAAAGAGGAAGATGGGGCAGAAAGGTAAGTGTTAAACAGTGTTTCCTGACTTATATTGGAAACATCTGCACAGTAGTTTCTAGTAGTAGCACAGATGATCAGAGTATAATTGATTTTGATTAGCAGAAGAATAAAGAAGCATGTTGTCTTTTATTTCACGGTTGCAAAGACTCTGCAATCAAGAGCATTTCCTAGTGTGGAAACAGGGGTCATAAAGGACGAGGAGATTAAAAGCAAGCATATCCTACATAATAGCTTTTATGATGCACCTGACCTTGATTGCACAAATAACCTTGGGAACGTTGGCTTTTGGGGAAAAGCAAGAGCTCTTTTTTTTTTTTTTAATTATCAGGATGCAGATCTGTGTTCCCTGATACCCAGGACTGTTTCAGAGCTTTTTATGGGTAGAGGTGAATTTATATGTTTTAAGTAGGGAAGAAAAAAGGTAAACACTCAAATTCAGCCAAAATCTCAAATCAAATGTATTTTTACATTAAAGCTTAGCCTGTAATGGTTATTAACATAATACATCATCAGCTGTTCAGCACATACAATTGGCTGGCAATTATTTAATAGCATTCAGTATTTATCATCCTTTATACTAGATAAATTTAGGTGAGCAAACCCCAAAATGTCTGGCCTTGGAAGAGGACCATGAAGGGTGGTGCTAGGACAGCAGCTCCTCTATATTATAGAAGAAAGCATCCTCCTGGCTCTGACACCTCAGAATAACAGGAGGCTAATTAGGAAAAAATGAGGAAATACAGTTCAGAGAAAAACATTTACAGTAAGCAGAACACACACAAACTGACAGAAGAAAAAGTTAATGAGAGGAGAGACTCTAGCAGGCAAGAAAGAAGGATGCTCTTGTGGCAGTTTTGAGAAGAGGGGCAGGAAGAGAAACTTGAGAATGTGAACTGAATTGCTCTCATTTTCAGCAAGGCAAGGGAGATTCTACACAGATGAGAAAAACACACCACCAGATCAGAATTCTGATTGGCTGTAGTTACTGTCTGTCTCAGCAGTGTTTGATGAACACCCAAACCCATCCCTCCTCTCTGCAGAGCAGTCACAGCTCAGGCTTGATGGGTAGGTTTCCTTCAAGCAGCACCAAGAAATGTTTTCTCTGTCTTTACTCCATTCTTTCTTTGGCCTTATGTCAAATAGCCACTTCCATCATCTAGGCATGGTTTTGCTTCTCAGGATGGTAGTCTGGGTCAGATGATTACCAGTTCTGCTGCTCTCCTCTTCCTGTCTGTTCAGAAACCTGGTGCTGGACTTCCACCACATTCACTGATGTTTGCTACGAGCTGTTTGCTGGGAGCAGCTTCTGGAGTCTGCTACCTGGTAATGCTTTGTTTACTGAAAGCTCTTCTGCATTTTATAACCCTTGTCTCCAGTCTTGATGGCTCTTGTTGAGTAGAATCATTTAAATATCTATAGATGGAGAAACAGGTTGTCATCAGAGCAGCACAAATAGCACCCCAATACTACTGTTGAAAAAAAAGTGTCATGTATTAACCCTTGATGCCTTTAGGACGGTGCAGTTTGGCCAGCTGTGGGTTGTGTGGGAACACCTCTCTCCTGGCATCTGGCCTCTGTCCTGGGCAATGGGAGCTCAGCACAAGCTGAGACTAATCCTGGGGGAAATTGAAATATTGTGGAGTATGGGGGCAATGGAAGAGGAAGGAAATGGGTTGCTGGTCTTCCTCCTTCCCTCAGTCCCACCGATCTTCCTGGGCTCATCCTCAGCACTATGTTTGGCTGGATCACCCCCCAGGGAAGTGAAGATGGCCAGGATTTGGGGGCAAGTTTTCAGTCTCTCTCCTCCATGATGCTTCTGCATTAATATGCTGTCCCTTCAGATGCGCTCACTGCAATGGTCTGACAAGTTCCCTGGGAACTCGTCCCCTAGGGAATACCATACCTGTTGCCTGAACACCAGGTGTCACTGAGGCTTAAAGACAACATTTCCTTGCTCTTTATTTTAGCTGACATTTTTCAGTTATTTTGTTGAAAAGACGGGGGTTTTCCCTATGGAAAAAATACATCTCCATTTCTGTCAAAGTAATCTATAGAGAAACACAACACAAAAATACTCCTACAAGCAGTGCTACTACATAAATTTTAAAAAAACCCACACAGTCTTAAGTGTCCAGAAGTCTGTTTGATATTTGTCATACAAAGCAAATACAAACAAGCCTTGTCACTACTAAAAGATCAAATCGCTTCAGTGAAGCAACATTTTCTCAAAATAATCAAAATATTTATGATTGGACTAGAAGTGTATTTTTATTGCAGAACTGTAATAACTTTGCTGACTGTTGAGATGCAGGTTCCTCTCAAGGGAGAGCTTATACGTTAATCATTGCTGGTATAATGTGAAGAAACAAGGTCATAAGGACACTGAACACATTCTAAAAATAATGTAATCTGATGGGGAGATGAAGAGGTCTGCAAGATGCAAAATTAGAGGACACTGGCTTGACTCTTTTGTCCCCTGAAACTGAAGATCCCAGATCAAATCATACCTGTGTCTTTAGCAGCACCAGACTGCAATATGTACAGGCAGCATCCCATGCTTAACTTTTAATTGGGTGAGGCTGGATACCCAGCCCACTAATGTTCAGAGGGGGTGACCTGTTTATCTGGCTCCACTGGGCTGTCAGGCAGTTTGAGATATTTGGAAGCAGCTTGTTTATACTTAAGATGTCTGAAATCTCAATTGTCCTCACTTTTCAAGGATGCCTGTGTTTCTGGGTCTTGTGTCTACCAGAGAGCATCGAGATTCAGGGAGCTGCAGAGTAAAGTGGGGGGTGGGGGACAGCTCACTGCTGTCTTCAGCTGCCTGAGGGTGAGGAGGAGGAGGAGTAGAATCTCCTTTGAGGGGCATAGCAGAAGATCAAGAGGTACAATGAAAGAACAAATGCGTAAGTTGCAGCAAGGGAGATTCAGGTTAAATGTAAGGAAAGAAATCCTTCACAATGAGAGCAAAGGCTGGCACAGGCTTTCCAGAGAGGCTGTGGGATTTCCATATGGAGATGTTCAACTGTTCAGATCCTGAGCATCCTGCTGTAACTTTGAAGTTAGCCTTGATGTGAGGTAGGTGATCTCCAGAGGGATCCTTTATCCCAAATTATTCTGTGATTGTGGCAGTGCTGAGAGCCAGAGGAGACAGACATGTGAGGTCTAGTTTACAGGGGGAAGCAGCTGCGATAACTTTGCTACACCAAAAAATTGGAATGCAGTACCTTGGACTCAGCCCAAGCCAAACACACCCAAACGGGAGTGCTGTAATGGAAAGCCAGTGACAGCTTTGTAGCATAGGAACTTTGCGTAGATGAACTCTGAGAGTGACTGAGAGGCAGCCTGGTTTGTGATCAGCACTACTTAACTACCCCATTAGTAACCCTGTGGTGCTTATTTATTCTCATATCCTGCAAGGATTCAGTCTAATAGAGGACTGAGCTTTACAGGAAGGCAAGTTATAAAGATGAAATAGAAAACAAAGCTGGAAGAGAAATGTCTTGCAAACTTGGTGATAAGGGAAGAAAATGTTGACTAGGGCTTGCAAGTAATGTTTTTGGAATTTGTTTCTCCAAGGGAACAGCCTGCTATCTCCTATTGAGGGAAATAAAGGCATTTATTCAAGATTTGTTGGTCTTCTTCATCCATGCTGTTGAATCACAGCTGGGATATACTGCCACTCTGTGTGACAGAACCGTGACTGATGGGACCTACAATTCCTTCTGTTACTGATTACATGGACGGCTAAACCATGCATGTCAACCACTCCTACCTGGAACACCTTTCAGTCCTGACTGTCAATACTTGCTGTTTCCAAGCTTCAGGTAGTGTGGAAGACAGCTTAGTTCCTGCCCCGGGACACTTTGTCCTTCTGCTCTGTCACAGCCCTGAGGGAATATTGTTGACTCCTTCCTGTAATTGCCTCCAAATGGCAAAGACTCCCAAGATCAGGGAGCCTGAATCATGCTTGGTGGGGTTTTTGCCTTTTTTTTGGTCTATTCTCAATCTGTCCACAGACTGTAAAGTACACAGATCTCTATCAGTTTAATGCTGTTATGAAAGTAAAAGGACATGAAGGAAGACAAAGAAAACAAAATGGCCAGGGCAGAGGGCAGGTTGGGTGTGGTGCACGCTCAACCATGAGCACAGGGATTGAAGTGACTCACTGATACAGCAACATGGAGGCACACGGAGCCTCTCCAACATTTCCAGCTAGAGAGATCATTTATTGTAGTGAAATGATTCAGTGACCTTAAGAAGCAGCCAGAGGCTTTCTCTGGAGACTGCTGGAGAGGCAAAGCAACCTAATAGATGGGAAACTGCACTGAATAGCTTTTTTCTTGGTCTTGTTAATGATCTCAGCACACAGCCCATTTCAGCTCTCTGAAAATAGCTGGCAAGTTGTTCTTGAGATTTTCCAATCATTTTAGGGCTGGTACTCAATTACCACTGAAGAGTATAAAGCATATTTTAGCTGTGTAGTGTTTATTTTCCAATGTAATTTTTGAGACCTTTTGTAACATAGGTGTCCACTTCTTATTTATTAAGGTCATTACAGAGAACTTTCCTCTAAAAAAATAAAACATCCACAAAGGCAAAACTGAAAAAACACTGTGTATTTGGGCACAAACTGCACACAGCTTGGAGTAGAAAGAAGCA